TGTTGTAAATCATACTCGATTTCATATTTCACAAACAATCGGTTATGAATATGTCACAGGATCTGAATTAGCACTGAAGAATTATATGTAATCTTATTTTCATTCATCACCAAAATAACAATTATGATATCTGAAAGTTGTTCATACCTGGTAGGCCTGCACAAAACTAGTATTCCTAGCAGCTTTACTTATAGCTCTTTTATGAAGTCATCTTATGATAAGATCAGTCATGCTCATATTCATTGTTGCTCTAAGAATTTGTTGGTATGTTACCCAGTCACTTTTTTAGATTGATTTGTTAAATTGAAATTATTCATTGATTCACTTTCATGGACACACACACACACACACACACACACACACACACACACACACACACCACACACACACACACACACACACACACACACACACACACACACACACACACACACACACACACACACACACACACACACACACACACACACACACACACACACACACACACACACACACACACACACACACACACACACACACACAACACACACACACACACACACCACACTCACTCACTCACTCACTCACTCACTCACTCACACTCACTCACTCACTCACTCACTCACTCACTCACTCACTCACTCACTCACTCACTCACTCACTCACTCACTCACTCACTCACTCACTCACTCACTCATGGAAAACTAATATTAAAGTAAATGCTTAATTGTCTTTGTGTCCCTTAGGCCATATGGATCAAGAGTTACTCCTGCAGAACTTGACAGTTTTATCGACATGGCTATCGAGATTGGCAGCGATGAGAAAGATCCTCTTATTACATTAGGTATACATGTTTCTGTTGGTATGTCTCTGACTCCCTCTCCCTTTTTCTTTCCACGTAGGTTTTCATTCTTTGTATAGAAAGGGGCAGAAAAAAAGGGAGAAGCAAAGTGATAAGATATGAATTATTAAAGGTAATTGAAGCATTTGTAAAAGTGATGAAGATTTTATACATTTATGAGTATCAGCAGGCATGGTTTATTAAGTCATTTTTATTGCTATTCTCTTCATCCTTGGCAGATGAGTGGGGCCTAAAGACAGAGCAACACAAATACAAATGTTCAGCATGTGAGGCGGTGAGCAAGACGCGTTTGGATATTGAACAGCACATTGCAGATATGCAGAAAGACCATGAAGAAGCCGTAGTGGTGGTGCTGATAGGCCCCGAGGCACGAGGAAGGAGCTGCCCCCTCTGCAATGACAGATTTCAGCGGAGTCATTTGTTTAAGGTTGGTTTTCATAGGATCTTTGTCATAACAATATGATGAATGAATTTTTTTATATAAATATTAGACTTCTATATTGCGTTTTAAGTATGAATATTAGATTATGGTAATAGGGCAAACAAAATCAATAGTCATAAAATCTATATGGTTCAAAGGTTTTGATGGTGGCATAAATATATACCATGGCCACTGTGATTTTAGGTTAACATTTGGGTTGAGATTTGTACTACCATTATCTTATGAATTACAGTTGTTTAAGTGCTTGAATACTAATATAAATTTTATTTTTTTCCCTAGCATATTAGGGAATCCCACAACACTTTCTTTCCCTTGCGCTGTGGATACTGTGTATTCATGGGGCAGGATCACAATCAACTGCGTCATCACATTCGCAAGAAGCATGGCACATCCAAATATCGAATCATTGATGTTTCCCGCATCCTTGCTGAAAATGATGAATCAGGTATGTATAGTCTTGATAAAGACTGTAATTACGAAAAGGAAAGACATATTTGTTTCAGATTTCATTGGGTATTTCCAGAATTTAGTTTGATGGTTTTTGCTTGTAGAGTTGTAGCTATGTTTCCTGTTTCTTTTGAATTTTGGAAATAGGCCTATTATGTCTTGCTTCACTGGCTGTCCTATTTTTCTAAAGTGTTTTATTTATTTATTTATTTTATTTTTTTCATTATTTTAGATATTTAGGGAAATGGTATATATTTACCTAAAACTTCTTATGTGTATGAAGTCAAATAGCCTTACATTACAGTTTTATGCATCTTTTTTATAGGAATAAAATATCAGAGGAACTCTGCAGTATATTAATCACCACAGAGAAGTACACATATTTATATACAAACCAGAACATTGCAACATAGAGCAGTAAAAATACTAAATACAGTATAGAAAGGTGCATATTAATAAATACTACAATGAATAGCACAAAATATTTAAAGGAGCAATACAAAGTGCCTCACCTGATTAATGGCTGTATAGACCTCACACCACATTGATATGCTTAAATAAAGTTATGATTTCACTTCTGTGCAATACAAAATGTTAGCATCATGTTTGTATGACTGGCAATCTCTTGGGGTGCTAAATGTTTGACAAATGTTCTTCAAATGATGTGGCATGCTAAAAGGTGATCCACATTAGTTTCAAATACCAATAAAATGGACGGTAAATCTTGTTTTTGTACAAATTATACCAATATTATTGTCTTGATGATATTTAAAGAAGAAAATATACTTTAGTAGAATGGCTTATTGCACAGATTCTATGTTTTTTTCCTATAATAATTTTTCCCAGGAAATTCAAAAGCAATAAAATCTTGGCAAGACATATTTAATTATATATTGAGAATATTGTTTAACAAGATAAGAGCATTTTAAAGATTTGGTCGTTATATAGAATATTATGGATGCAGTGGATGAATATGTTCATGATATTGCTGATTAAAGATAGCCAAAATAAGTGGATTGGACAGAATGCAGGATGAAATATCTTGAACAGGTTATATTGCATGATGTCGTTTTCATTGTATATTAATTTTCAGCAATATAAGAAGGAATTTAACAGTTCAAAGCTGCAAACATTGACCATTCTTAATCATCAAGCTGATCAATATCATTTTGTAATGAATACTTGGACCAGAAATTTTGTCATACAGAAATTTTGCTTAAGCATAAAATCCACATGTGGAGTGTGAACTTATATCTAGCTACTATTACAAACCTTGTATAATCATATAACCATAGATATCATTGAACAGGTGAGAAATCTTTGCTGGAAGATGAGGACCAGAGTGACGAGGACATCAGAGAAGACTCCGCACCCCAGGGAAATATGCTCTGCCCTCTCTGTGGGAAGGGGTTGAAGGTGAGGATACTTCCATGGTGTTTATATTACTATTATTAATTTGTGTGTGCGTGTTCGTGCATGTGTGTGCGTGTGTGTATGAGAGGTGCTTTATTATAGTCTTCTTATTGGCTTGCACTATATGTACTATCTTTTTATTATCATCTCTATAATAGATTCCTATCTAGTTACTGAATATTGCATTAATACTTTAAATTTTCTTATGAGTTTTATAATTTGGATGGTTATTTTTCCTACTTTTTATTGTTTTGTTGTATTCATGATTATAAAAGAGACCATAATGAGTAAGAAATATACGTATCATTTTTTCTTCTTTTCGCTGTAAGGAACATTTACAGTTACATAGCTTAAAGCGTGAACTTACACAGGCCATAACTTACCTTTGTTTCAGACTTTGCGGAATTTGAAGAAGCACGTTGCTCAGCACAGCCGTCAGAAGCAACAGTGCATGCTCTGCCCCTTCACTACTACTTTCCCAACACAAGTTCGCAGTCATTTTCGACGCAAGCACCCATCACATTCTCCCAAGTGGCAAAAGGTGTGGAGTGATAGCTTTTAACATTTTGTAGCAATTTTTTTTCCCGATTCCAGATAAATTTCTTTTGCATCACCTGTTTTCGTTGTTGAAATATGTTACATTCTTTTTTATTGACTATTATTGTTTTTTTTAAATCTTTTTATATGCTATAAGAAAATACTTGTCTGTCTTTGTTTTTGTTTGTTTATTTCTTGCTGTATTTTAGGTCACATTAGACAAAGGTGGCAGCGATGCCCTAGTGGAAGATGTTGGTCCATACTTGCGTCTCATCACTAGAAAGTATGGAGTACGTCAGCCAAAGAAAGAGAAGAAATGGGTGAGTTGTGGGTCTTTGTTTGATGTAAAAGATTGGTAAATGAGTAACATCCATATTTTCAGATTACCATTATTACAAATAAAATCATCTCGCTCTATTTATGTCTTTTTCAGATTCTATTTGTGCTCTTCCTGGCTCTATCTCATGGCCAAATATATTTTCAGATGCGGCAATATAGGTGTCCTCACTGCGATTACATCTGCAGTTTTAATTCCTCATACAACCGTCACCTGCGTCTGCACAAAGGTGTCAAGCCATATAAGTGTGGGTATTGTGATTTCCATGGTAGGGAAGCCTATGTTGTCAGGAAGCACTGTTCAAAGGTGCACAAGGTAAGGTTCTTTGGTTGTATTGCTTTTCTTAACCCTCACTGATAGGCTTTGAAATCAGATGCATCCTGTGTGATACACTATTTCTGTATTTACCTTCTCCCCACAGTACTACCTTACTCCACACCACCCCATCATCCTCCTGCCTTCGTCCTTCTACTGCTTCCACCTCTGCAAACCTTTTGAGTACTCTGTTTGGCCCAGCCAAGTTGGATCAATTCTTTGTGATTTTCCCCACAGCCCCTTACTCTGACAATACCCTTCTCTTCCAGCAATGTCTTCAAAAACAAGTAGGCAAAGTTTCCTTTCACAGTTGCTCTGATCATTCTTGCCTTGTCACAGTTACATCTGAGTCCCAAGTTCATACACTATCTACCCTGACTAACCTCACTGGCAAATGTATTCCTGTCAAATCTCACTCCTCTCTTAACCCCCTGGATCTGGGTGCAATGGTTACGTAAGTGGCCAGCATCCCAGGAGTGCGGTGCGTAGGCCGGGTGTAAATAAACACCCATGAGCGGTGATGAGACTCTGTGCCTCCCTTTTGCGAAGTTATTTTGTGAAAACTTTTCTAGCTTTACTGCCATTTTCCAGTGTCCATATTTGTCTTTTGCTTTGATTTATCCAGATTGTAATTACTTATTTTCCTTGCACAGACTCCATATCATCTCTCTATGTTGTTAATAGCTCAGTGCAAAAAATTAAAAAAGATAGAACATTTGGTTATTTGTGTCATATATCTCTTTTTTTTGTAATTTTCAATCTTCCGTAATACAGCCTGCGCCACTGTGCGGCCAGGAATACGATGTGCAGCATGGAAATGGCGTGGTCCCTGGAGCCGGCTCTCTTCCATTCACTGCTTACACACGTTACATTCCACATTCGTTTATTGATGGGAATAATGCTAAAGCCCGCTTCTAAGTGCCAAATGAGTCAAATCACAGTCCAAGGGGTTTGTGCACTCGTGGAAAGTCTTTTCTGTCACCCTGGCCTTGGCTCGTGACGCTTCGTTGAGGTCAAGTTTTTCCTTGACGTGATCGCAACGACATACAGATCCAGGGGGTTAATACTTGTACTGGAACTGTTTTCAGTTCCCCGACAGATTGTCTTATCTACCACAAGAACTGGTTAGACTGTGAAAACAACTTATGTGCCAGCCTTGTTGATTATGATGTGGTGGCAGTGCAATGCTACACTATGCCTCCCAGAGGCCAGCATAAGTCCTACACCAATATTGCCAAGATTAGCTTCTGTAGACATGACCTCCCCCATGAAGGTTATATTGGTGGAGTACCCTCCCCTGTCTGACCATGTTGATTTATTCCTCGTCAGTGTGAAAAATGTTGGCATTTTGGCCACCCAGCCTGTTGCTCACCTGGTCAAAATCAGCTCAGTCAAGTATGTGTACCAATTGTGATGGCTCCCATAATTTATTTTATAGGAGCTCCCTAGCCTATAAACTCGATTCCAAGGTAGCCCACTCCATGAGGCCAGGCAGGATGCACACTGATGAAGTTTTTCTCACTCTACCTATTCCAAAATTGGTCTTCACTATGCTCCCATCCCATCTCAAGACATCTCAACATCTCTCCCAGTATCTCTTCCCTCTACCCTGAACCATCCTTCCTCTCTCCCCCAGTCAAAGTCCTTGTCCAGTCTAAATCCGGATACTCCAATCTCTATCACTTTCTTGATGCCTACCCCTCCTTCTCACTTTACCTGTCTTACCAGACATCCTAAACGTTCCACTTAATCTTCTACCACATCCTCACCTACACCCTCCTCTTCTTCTGCTCTTAGGACATCTATCCCCTCTTCTCCTCCTCAGAAATGAACCTTTGTTTCTTAGACCTCCTCACCCAAATCCCCTCCAGTAACCCTTGAAGACATCTAAAACATGATCCAAGAGAATTCTCCACTCCCTCCACCCTCCAGTCCCTCTATTCCCATTCGCTCTCCATTCAAAGTATTTGCTGATATCCATCCTCCCTTTTTTTAAGTTACCCCTTCACCTCTTCCTCCCACTCTTTTCCACCACACCCTATCCTCTCCAGCTCCATGTGCACCATTCCCTCTTTGTTCCTCATTATCCCTACCGCTCCCACCTGGATGCTCATGTGAATCCTTTCTGTCACAACAGTGTCCTTCTCTGGACCCCTCTCCTCCTGACATTCTTCCTGATACTTCACCACCTTCACGAGTTCCCTTATCACATTCCCTGGATTCTTCTCCTCTTATGTCTCCAACAACCAGCTCTACCCATATTACCCGTTGCTTGTTTCATAACAGCTCTTTTGCCAGTTTCCTTAAACACTGTTCCTATTCCTTCCCCAACCACAGGTACACCCCATATTATCCTATTACCCTATGCCCTTCAGCCTTTCATCTTTTACTAATCTTCTCTTTACTTCATTCGCTCCCCCTCTTTACCCTTTTCACTACCATGCTATCCTATAACGCTATAACCTTTATATGACACATTTTATCCTAATTGTGAACTAATTTTTACGCATTTGCATACAATATGCAGATGCACATGCACGCTGCACACACAACACACACACACACACACACACACACACGCACACACACACACACACACCACATACACACACACACACACACACGCACACGCACACACACACGCACATGCACACGCGCACACATACACATACACATACACATACACATACACATACACACACACAACACATACACATACACATACACCACACACACACACACACACACACACACACACACACACACACACACACACACACACACACACACACACACACACACACACACACACACACACACACACACACACACACACACATTGATTTATTTTAGCAGTTAATCAGTTAAGTGATACTAATTTACAGAAGACATGAAAATTGAATTCCAACTTTAGTTTTATTTGCCCAGAGCAAATTTTAAGCATGTTTCCATTCCACAGGGTAAAGAGGTACTTGTTGAGAATGACAAGAACTTCAAGGCTCCATATCGCTTTGAATCAAGATTGAAGAAAGAAAATTATGAGTGGACATCATGTCTAGGTAATGAAGGACTGAAGAGCAATGTCAGTCCGGAAAATGAGTCCTGTCAACTTAATAATGGCAGTGACAAAGAGCTAGCAGGATCAAGGATTCTCAGCACCAGTGCAATGGCCGCTCAATCTGCTGTTGATTGCTTGGATGAAAAGGTGTTAATGGCTGGTTCTTCGGCTTCATTTGCTAAGAAATTTGAATGTTTGACATTTAAGACCCTCAGTGTAGTGGCAGAAGATCAGGTTATGAACACTTTGCATGTTCAGCAAGAACAAAGTCAAATGAGAAGTAGTGAACTTGAGCAAATGTCAGAGGCTGTTATTTCTTCATGTGGACCAAATGTACCATTAGTTTCACAAAGTGTGGAATTAAATTTAAAGAGAACTGCAAATCTTAAAAGACAGATGGAGAAAGTAGTCACAGATGCACTGGGGTTTGAAGAGTCCAGTTCAAAGAAAATGTTGAATTATGATGTTGTTGCAATCACAAATTCATCTCTTCAGACAGAGACCAACAGTGCTGTATCCTCAAATCCTGAAATTTGTAATTTCAGACCAAATTTTGAACTTCAACCTGAAAATCAATCTGTTAAAGTAAAAACATTCAAAGTCAAACATGCACCCCAAAGCAAATGTGTAAATGTGAACGAAATTTGGACAGATGATAAAAAATTACCTAATACAGAATTAGAACCTGAGATTGGTAACACAAATGTAAATAGAGTAGAGGCTAGTCTAGATTCTAAAATGTGTGAACCTTCATTTTGTTCCATTAGCTCCGTTTCATTAGACTGTGATGATGGTAGTGATAACACTGTTGTTATTGAGTTATGTGCAACCAGTAATGAAAGTTTTACTGTTAAGGAAGTGCGAGGCTTTAAAAAGCGGGAAAAGCTAAGCCACAAGAATTCTGAAGAGTCTGTTTCCTTATATGTAGATACAAAAAGAATGAATAAAATGCATCAATCTTTACCGGTACAGTCTGAAAAAGCAGTTGCATCTCTCTCAAAAGACTTCAGTATTATTGAACCCACAACTTCAAAAAAAAATGTAAACAAACTCATTACATCTGAAACTACCAAAATTGGGAATTCAGAGGCTAGTCCATCTAATGGCTTAGAGAACACACTTCACACTCACATTGCCTTCCTCACAGACTCTCTTGTACAGCGCCTTAGCAGTCCAATATCAGCCACTCCAGGTGTCATGACGAGAGACTTGCTTGGACTAGACTACAGCAATAGTGACTACTTCAGCTCAGAGAAAGTACGACACATGATGAAGAAAAAGAGCGGAGGAAGAGTCAAGTGCAATGTATGCGGGGTAACTACGACTTATCGGGCATTCTACAAGCATGCCAAAAAGCACTTTCACATCAAGCCATTCAAGTGTGGCTATTGTTCATACAGATCAATTGAGAAGAGCAAGATCAGAGTGCACAATACATTTTGCCATCCAAGTCGGCCTTGCATCATTCTGAAGTTGTCACCAGAAACTGCTGGGATCACCACAGATGGAACACAACAGACCTCTGGGAAGGTGGGCCAGCCTGTTGAGGGCAGACCTCCACACAGAACAAATAGTGTAGATGATGAAACCTTCATAACATTTCCTGATCCTGTAGGTTCTGTTAAAGACAGCAATGCTACCAACATTTGCAATAAAATATCACCATCCAATAGCAATTCTTGTGAGTCTCAAGTCTCCATTAACAAAAAGGCAGCTGATAAAATAGTTGACCACCATTCCCCATCAACTACCTCAACTGTGGTGCCCAATGTGTCTGCTGGGCCCTCAACATTCCACTGTCCCATTTGTTATAAGCAACTGCAGTTCCACACACCATCAATAAGAAGGCACTTATACAGTCATTATGGTTACAAACCTTACAAATGTGGTTACTGTAACTTCACTGCCATTGGCCAAAATGAGGTGAGTGAAAAATCTTTTTGGTTGATGAATTTTCTGTGTATTTTTTAAAATGTGAATTAGTGTAGTCATTTACTATTAGGATTTGCTATCTCCCATAGTTTGTTGTCAGGGTAACAAGTGATTATCATTATTTTATACGTTTTTTCTGTTTGGTATGGTATTGTTGATGGGAATTTTTATAATTATTGCTATCACCACTGCCATCATTATTCTTGTCATAATCCTCCTCCTAATTATCATCATGACTATCTTCATCTTTATTAATATCTATCTCTATTTTTACCATTATCATTATTATCATCATCTTATTCATCATCTCCCTTACAACATATTTTTATTATTACATAATATCCTTTCATAACCCAGGAAAAGCAATATGACATCTAAATATACACTGTATTTCCCAGATCCGTGCACATCATGTCACTCATGGCTTTACCACAGCGCCCAAGGTGGAGTCTTCTGGCATAACTATGCCCACTGGCCTCGCCTCTTACGTGAGTGAGCTTTTAGGGCAGCAGCGTGGGAGCCGGAAGCCGCAGAGGAAGAGAGGGCAGGTTGCTGAACACCAGCTGTTGGATGAGACCTCAGAAAGTGAAAGAGAACCAACAGAGACCCAGCAGGAGCCAACTGACCTCATGTGGACAGAGATGGCCTCAAAGGAAGAGCTGGCAACCATTTACTTTACACCCCAAGAGCAACCCCAGCAAGCTCTAGTTCCTACTCCTAATAGTGAGCCACAGGAGGGTCTTGATCTTCCTGTTGAAGCAGGGCCCCTGACACAGCCACTTGAGCCTGTGGATCTATATTCTGAGGCAGCATATGCTGTACAGGTTCTTGAATCTGGGCAGAATCCAGGGCCTGGTACAAGTCCAACTCGACAACTTGATGTTGGAGGTCATTCATATTCACAGTTTGATTCAGACCAAGTGTGTGTTGTTTATCTGATTGATTAAGTGCGTAGCAAGAATTATGAAAGGAACTCCATGTTATCTAAGGTTCAACAGATTGACAAAATCTGTCTTTTGTAGCAGATGAGCCAAGAAATTGAAAATGGAAAAGAATGTGTTTGTAGATGTGTTAAGCAATGGGAAAATTATACTATTATATGTTTCTTTTTCTTCGTTTAAAAAAATTATGTCGGTGATTCTACAGGTAACCATACACATTCAGAAAAATCTTTTAAAGTATGGTTGAGTTTGCTCTTTTTTTTTTAAATACCCAAAGGTTTCTGGAATATGATTTCATGACAAAAGATTTTTACTCTTTTAAGAACTTTAGGGAAGTAATGAAATTGCTGCATATGTAGACACATGCATAATATTACATGCATTTGGTACTGCATTTATTGTTATACAGCATGTGTCCCTTTCTCACTATTTCTTATACTTTAAGTTATCCTTTTGGATTCCTTTTTACTCATTCACTTCTGGTTGTTCTCATTTTGTTTCACTTTTTTTCTTGAATTACATTACATATAGTATGACATCAGTTCGCAATATTCTTGTATTATCTCATGTAGGTGTGGTACTTTATCCTGATTGCCTATATTGCATACAGTCTCAGGAAAAAAGAAATTGGCAACTCACTCCAGACCCAAGAATACTTTGATTCGCCGGGTCTCCTTTTTATTCCAGTCAGCTGGCCCTTAATACTTGTGTTGGCATGTTTTGCCTTTTTAAAACCTATATGCATTAGTATTTTTTATTATTTTTTTCCTTCGGTCTTCCTTCCTTCTTTCTTCTTCCTTTTTTTTTCTTCTTCCTTCTTTTCTTTCCTTTTTTATCCTTCTTGCTTCTTCTTCTTCTTCTTCTCTTGCTTCTTCCTTCTTCTTCTTTCTTCTTCTTTTCTTGCTTCTTCCTTCTTGCTTCTTCCTTCTTCTTCTTCCTTCTTCTTCTTCCTTCTTCTTCTTCCTTCTTCTTCTTCCTTCTTGCTTCTTCCTTCTTTCTTCTTCTTCTTCTTCTTCTTCTTCTTCTTCTTCTTCTTCTTCTTCTTCTTCTTCTTCTTCTTGCTTCTTCTTCTTCTTCTTCTTCTTCTTCTTCTTCTGCTTCTTCCTTCTTGCTTCTTCCTTCTTCTTCTTCCTTCTTGCTTCTTCCTTCTTGCTTCTTCTTCTTCTTCTTCCTTCTTGCTTCTTCTTCTTCTTCTTCTTCTTCTTCTTCTTCTTCTTCTTCTTCTTCTTCTTCTTCTTCTTCTTCTTCTTCTTCTTCTTCTTCTTCTTCTTCTTCTTCTTCTTCTTCTTCTTCTTCTTCTTCTTCTTCTTCTTCTTCTTCTTCTTCTTCTTCTTCTTCTTCTTTTCTTCTTCTTCTTCTTCTTCTTCTTCTTCTTCTTCTTCTTCTTCTTCTTGAAGTGTTTGGGGTGAGCTGCCAGTTTTTCTTTCCAGAGATTGGAGAGTATATTATTTATTTTTCAGTCATTGTTTGTAAATATTCCTTGTTGTCTAGATTTTTAAGTGAGTCCAAGCTTAGAGCTTATGCATATACAGTCAAATATTCACTTATTAGAACTACGACAAAACTTCCAAAGATCTTTTTAAACCAGATTGAAATATGTCTTTCCTTGGAGTAGTGATAAACTGTACATAACTTGTGAATGGAAGTTATTATGTATGTGTTGACATATAGTCTTTTCAGTAACTATATAACTTTTCAGTAACTATATAACTTTTCAGTGACTATATTCCATTTCCACTTTATTACCTCATTACATTTAGATATTGCAGGATTTGTGAGTATTTTTTGTTGTATTTAGTGATTTTAGGAAGTCAGTAATTACATTGATGTAATAGTAAAGATAAATCCAGGCCAATCAGGGAAGAAAGATCATCAAGATTTATAGATTTAGTTTTAATTCCATTTGTTACAATGGATATTGCTCTGACATGCTGTCTGTTTTATTTTGCTTCTAAATCTCCCCTTGTGCAAGAAATGGCTAGGGTTACCATCCATTGGTAGCACACAGGATTGAACACAGGTCAGCAAGATTGCTAGACACAGCACACTGATTAAGACAGAAAATCATTAGCATTTAATATTTCCTGTGATAGGATGTTAGAATGAAAAGAATATACAGATACACATATGTATTTCTTTTTTTCTTTTCTTTCATCTAAACAGTTTATTATTATTATTTTTTTTTATATACCACATTGATACAAAAAAGTCTGCTGAAAAACAGAAAGTTAAAT